ATATCCCATCTGACCCTGCCCTCTGGCAGTGGGAAGCCATTCCCTGTGTCCTGTCCCTCCAGGCCTTGTCCCCAGTCCCTCTCCAGCTCTCCTGGAGCCCCTTTAGGCCCTGCCAGGGGCTCTCAGCTCTCCCTGGAGCCTTCTCTTCTCCAGGGGAACAATCCCAGTTCTCTCAGTCTTTCCTCATTGAGAGCCATTTTTGATTCTGCATCATCCCTGTGATTTCTGGGACACTCTGAGCAGGAAGAGGGGATTCAGGTGGAGGGGACAGGGTTGAAATGGTGGCTCTCACCTGAACAGGTCCAGCTCATGGACACTGGGGAGAACCAGTGGGGCTGGTAACAGATTCTGAAGGAGGAAGGCAGAAAAGCCTGTTAGTAAATGTTAGTAAAGCTGTCAGGAAATGGAAGCATCCTGACTGGAATTCCATCCAAACTGAGCCATCAACCACAAAGCAACACAGAAAGAAGAGAACAAGATGAGCACTCAGAGGGGTGAGCAGGAACAGGCCTGGATTGAGCATTCAAGGTCCAAATTAATTTCCTTGCTTATAAACTGACAAAAATCCCTTCCTTCCAAGATGTGAAAGGCTGTCCAGGTCTGCTCCTTCGCTTTCCAGAGTCTCCTCTGGGGAAAGACAGAGCTTGGGATACAGAGCCAGTAAGGGTTAGAAATGTGGGCCCCAAACCAACACCAGCCAAAGGAGAGAAAAGGGAACAATGACACGACAAGAACTGAAATCAAAGCTGAACCAAAGCAGTGAAGCTGCTCAGAGAACAAAGGCTGCACCACAGCTCAGAAGATGAAGGCAGGAGACCTCCTTGGGCCTGAATTCCCAGGACAAGCAAGGGGAACAACGACTCAGAGCACACAGACTCTGTGCTGAGAGCCCTGTTTGACTCCCAGACACGAGAGCCTGAAGTTTAACCAAGTGGGTGACTGAGTCCACACTGATCCCAGGCTTTTCAAACAGGATTTAAGAGCTCCAGCTCTTCCCACCCTCCTCCCTCAGTGGTCCAGGCTCTGCTCACCACTGGCCTGGGCCAGGCTTAACTCACCTCTTGATTGAACTGCTTCACTGGGCTTGATCCTGGTTTATCCACCCTGGATGGGATCCTCACCTGGATCACACACAGAGCAGAGGTCACCCCTGGAGATGGGATCAGCATCACACACTTCCCTGCCCTACAACCCCCCACGAGAAAACTTCCTCATCCCCAACTCCAGCTGTGGGGACTGAAAAGGTTGGGACCAAAGGGGAAGCAGCTGGGGTGAACACCTCTTTTAGCAACCAGAATGGAGGAACACAGACTCCCCTTCCCACTCTGCCACAGGTACCTGGATGACAACTCCCATCACGGGCAGGTTCAGGGTCTGGCCTGGCACAGGAGGAGGCCACTGGTCGATCTCGTTGCACACTGAGGGACACAGGACAAGGGAAAGGTGTCACCTGGAGGAAGACCCAGCTCGTCCTGCTGCTCCTGGGAGTTCTGGCACTGCATCACTGCCTGTTCCCAGCCCACATGTCCCCCTGACTCATGGCAAAGCACCTTCATTCCCACAGCAGCACCACGGTGTTAACAAACCAGGATTAAGCTGAACAAGGCAATAAAGAGCTGCCAGAGATGCAGCAGCAGCAGTTCTTCCTGTCTCTGGGAACACACTGACAGCCCCATCCACCCCCTTCCCATCCATGCCTCCTTTGCAGCTGGTTGTCATTTGGACAAGCGGATGAAAGGTTCTTCCCTGCTGGAATCTGTCACAGAACGAACCAATCTGGAACATTTCCACTGTTTTTCCGGAGCCTCCTGATCAAACCCCCGCAGGATTTCGGGCTGCAAACCCTCCCTCCCAGCCCTCCCTGCTCACCTGCCTCCAGGCACGGCTCCAGCTTGTCGAAGTATTCCGGGGCAATGAGCTGGAGCAGGGACTGGAACAGGTTCACGTAGGGCAGGCGGGACACGAGCACCAGGGACTGCAAAGGGCACAGCTGGGAGTCAAACAGCCCTGGCACCACCCCTTCGGCACTGCACGGACTTACACTGCACGAGGGGCAGCTGAGGGAGCTGAGGGGGCTCAGCCTGGAGCAAAGGAGGCTCAGGGGGGACCTTCTGGCTCTGCAAGTCCCTGCCAGGAGGGGGGAGCCGGGGGGGAGTCAAGCTCTTTTCTCAAAAAACAAGTAACAGGATCAGAGGAAATGGCCTCAAGTTGCACCAGTGGAGGGTCAGGTTGGACACCAGGAGGAATTTCCTCATGGAAAGGGTTGTGAGGCCTTGGCAAGGGCTGCCCAGGGAGGTTTGGAGTGCCCATCCCTGGAGGTGTCCCAGGAAGGCCTGGCCGTGGCACTCAGTGCTCTGGGCTGGGGGACAAGGTGGGGATGGGGCCCAGGGTGGATCCATGGGCTGGGAGGGCTTTTCCAGCCTCAGGGATTCAGCACTCACCTTCTGGAAGTACCCCCTCCTCATGGAGCTGTCCTTGACCTGTCTGAAGTACACGTACCCGAAGTAATGAGCGGCCTCGCGCTGCAAGAGACCCCCAGAGTGAGGCACAAACCAGTGCTGGGCCACCAACCCCAGCCCCTGACCCCACACCCACCTCCCTCCTGCTCTGACACAGCCCAGCACTCCTTCAGTTACCACAGCTCCCTGTGCCCAACTCACTGGGAGAGATTTCCAAA